TATTGAATGCATGTACTTTCTTGTTCTTTGTTTCTTCATCATTCTTTCTATCTTCAATTTGAACTTCATACGCCATAAGATTTCCGATAAGATTTTTAACCATAAGAGTTGACAAATCATTGGCTTCTTCGATTACGGTAACTTTCTTTTCCCATTGTGGAGTAAGTGATCAGAGTATTTTTCTTACCATCTCCACTTGTGTGTATATTTTTCCAAGACCAATGAGAGAATTTAGGATGTCGGTGAATCTTGTAAACATTTCTCCAATAGTCTCGTTTTCCTTCATCTTAAATAATTCGAATCTATGTACAAGAACAGAAATTTTTTAGATTCTTTAACTTTATTTGTACCTTCATGAGTTACCTCAAGTGTATGCCAAATATCATATGCAGATGTGGCCGTTGACACCCTATTGAACTCATTCTTGTCAAGTGCACAGAATAGTGCATTCATGGCTTTGGAGTCCAAATTTGCATTGTTCCTTTGAGATGTAGTCCAATCTGAAAAAGGAGTTGTAGCGCATTCATGGCTTTGGAGTCCAAATTTGCATTGTTCCTTTGAGATGTAGTCCATTCTGAAAAAGGAGTTGTAGCGCATTCATGGCTTTGGAGTCCAAATTTGCATTGTTCCTTTGAGATGTAGTCCATTCTGAAAAAGGAGTTGTAGGCTTCTCATATTTTGTTTCCACAACGTTCCAAAGTTCATAACCAATTGAGTGAAGGTAAATCTTCATTCGGTACTTTCAATAGTTGTAGTTTAATCCATCGAACATTGGTGGACGATTTGTAAAATGACCTTCTTTGAATTGTGATGTATTTGTTGATGCCATCTTTCATTTTGCTCTGATACCAAATGTAGGATCTGAAATAGATACACTAGAACCCTAGAGGGGGGTGAATAGTGTTTTTTTAAAATTTATGCGAAGTAGATTAAATTGCAAAGAAAAATAATAATCTCAGAAATTCACAAACACAAACATAAAGTTTTATACTGGTTCCACCAATCCGGTGTACATCCAGTCCCCAAGCAAATCCCGCTTGAGAGTTTTCACTATGATTTTGAATAAACTTACAAAATCAAAAACAAACCTGACCAATTTGCAAGTCCCTGCAAATTGCAACACCAATTGACAAACACTTTGCCAATTTGCACACCATTCTCTAAACCAAGAGATTAACACCTCTCACAAACCGAGAGAACTTTTGAAGCAATAATTTTGATTCTTATAAGCCTTGATTTGTAGTGTAATGTAGTAGTGGCTTAGGAATGATTCTAACTTCTGTAAATTACCTAAACAATAAGTATTTGAATAATGTTCTTAGGAATGATTCTAACTTCTGTAAATTACCTAAACAATAAGTATTTGAATAATGTTCAAAGGTAATTTCAGAAACTTTTCTTTTTCTCAAAAAATAAGTATTTGAATAATGTTCAAAGGTAATTTCAGAAACTTTTCTTTTTCTCAAAATCTGAATGTTTTACACTTGAAAAAATGCACAAAGATCAAAGATTATAGGTATGTAATTCTCTGCATTTTTTCTGAACAAATAACCTATTTATAGTCCTTGAAAAGACAATTATTTGAACTTTGAAAACGTTTAAAAAACGGCTATAAACAGTCATAAATTCAAACTTTAAAATCTAGAAAAACTGTATCTGTAGTCGACTACAGGATAGAATAGTCGACTACACTGAGTTTAAACAGAATCTGTGAAGTTAGAAAATTTCTTAGTAGTCGACTATAAAGGTCATTAGTCGACTATACTATAATTAGACAAAAACTTGGAAAATGTATTTTGCCTTCAGTAGTCGACTATAATGTTAATTAGTCGACTATACTGTAAAATAACAGAGACTTATATTTCTGTCATAAACTTGAGTAGTCGACTATTATCCAAATTAGTCGACTATACTGTAATTTGACAGAAACTTATATTTAAGTCATATACATGAGTAATCGACTACTATTCTAATTAGTCGACTACTAAGAGTAAAATAATGTGAATTAAATATTTTGATATTCAATAATTAACTATAACTCTAATGATTAACATAGGGGATTTCTATAGTTAACCAACACACTAAGCCTGTATTAGTGTGTTCTAATATTTATGTGTGTGTGTGTGTGTGTGTGTGTGTGTGTGTGTGTGAGTGATCAAGGCTTGTACAATAATTCTAAGTAAAGAAAATTTAAAATACATTATCTCATATGTTCTTCATCTTCTTCACTTTATAATGCCTTGAACTCAACTTGCACTTGTTCATATTTTGATATTGAAATCTGCATATAAAAGTTACAACTTGCACTTGTTCATATTTTGATATTGAAATCTGCATATAAAAGTTAGTGCATTTGTATAACACACGTTGTATAAATTGTTATCATCAAAATAATATCATGGAGACATGATATTCAACAGTAACACCCCCTCCATACATAACACCATCCCCACGAAATGCCATTAAACATGCCAATGGAAAAAAAATCACCCACTGTAAAGATTCAAAGTTTACGGAGATCTAGACTTAAGGATTCTAGAAACTTTGAAGGGGTCTTGTAAGTAGTCAAAAGGTACATACCATTCAATAAGGATGAGTTATACATGAGGATAAAACCGCAGAGATAAGTGGATTGTACTACACAAACCCAACAAAGCAAGAGAAGCGAGCTAGAGGAAAGAAGAAGCTAAAACTCTAATTACGGGAAGATATAACGCGACAGAACATAATTCGGTACAGACCTAAAACTCTCCATAGACCTAAACTGGCGAATGGTACGAAGATAAGCATGGACTAACCTTGTGGAACGCATACCCTACGGGTCGTATAGAAGATGAAACACTGACGTAATTTAACCTTTCCATTACAAGTGTAATCACAATTGTTTCCCATTTAATGCATTGACTTTGTGAAGCTTGTGATACACGTAATTCGAGGCGCATGGTCTCGAGGCAATACACAGCTAAACTCAATGTAATGCTTGAGTTTCTCATGCTCAGTTTGATGGTCACGATATAGTAAATTGATTAGATAGAAGTATGATGACATGACCTCTCGCCAACTTCAGGAGAATGGGAAACTACATTGTGTTTAATGCAAGGTGACTGAAGAAATGACACATGTAATGATGAACAAGACCCACGAGATCTCACCCCCACAACGCATTTAATAGAAATTTAGAAAAGTGATGGATGTGACAGAATGACAACACGGCTAACGAACGAGCACGAACCGCAACTGCACACAGACGAACTCAACACGCAGTTCAACATGAACCCTATAAGTGCCCCCCCCCCCCCCCGCCCTTTTATTTAATTTTGAGGTATGGGATTTTTCAATGCATTGATTATGCCACTACTATCCTACACATGTTATTCAACTACCAGGAGCTCGAACCATGTGGGGAGAATGCTCTCCTTGTGAACTTTGTTCATCTCTAGTCCTTAACACCCAATCTTCCATCTTGTGTCAGTATAGCCATATAGCAATCGATCTTTAATCATTATTGACACCCATCTCACTTGCTTGGTGTAGTGAATCCTCATAAAAAAAAGTTCATTTTTCATCTCAAGGAGCTCTGAAGAGGCTCATTTTGATCTCACTGAATTGTTTAAAGAACGATGTTATTTTATTCATATGGTCAACAATGTTGACGCCAAGTCACTTTTTGTACAACTTCTTAGAATCTGAATTGTAACTAAAGATACTATAATATCATTTGTTGTTTTCCCAAGAGGTTAATAAAACAGATCGACTATCTAGAATCCTTGTGATTTTTTTGACCGAAAACAAGTTATAGTCTGCAAGTTTATGCATTGCATAGACTTGTTTAGTATCAAAAGATGGAGATAGCCCAATGAGGACAAATGTCAACAATAGATTTCAGTACATAGAATTGATCGGATTCTATTTAAGGAGGAGATTTGTCATTGTTGGACTAGGAATCCTCTCCCCTATTTGAAAAGGATGCAATATAGTTTTTTAGGAGTCTTATTGAAAATAAGTTTCTAGGCAATAGAACCTCTATCTGAATAAGGATTTAGGTCTTTAAGGGGTTGAATTCTCAGACCTAGGGCATGAGAAAAATTGAGAGAAAGAAAGTATCTCTAGAGGACTCATAGATCCAATTGATGGAAATGTTTTCTATCTTCTCCAATTGGTAGAATTTTTTTTTTTATCTTCCAAGAGAGAGAGTAAGAGAGATCATCGATCTCATTTGTGTAAGTTGCAATCTCTCTTTTGAGTAAGTGAAAATTTAACTACTACTGCCTATGGACGTAGAACTTGCTCCAAACCACATAAACCCTATTGTTTGTGCTAGTGATTTTATTTTGACTATTGTTCTATGATCTTGATTTCCATTGTGTTTTGCACTACACCCTCGTTTCTGAAAAACTATTCTATGTTTAAGGACATTGGTATTTTTAGCATGAACAAATAAGTTTATTGTCATGCTTAATAAGTTTCCTCAAAGAAAAATAAATTTATACTTGAAGAGCATGATCATAAATTAATTAATAATATCGTTGACAATATCACAGCTTATGCATATTTAAGAAAGGCATATCTAGCCATGTGACAACTCTGAAAAATTAAAAAAGTATCTCAATTAGAAAAAAGGTCTGAGGAAGAAAAGATTTTGGCATGGAGATCCTTTTGTCTTTTGTAATGCATTCTCTCTATAACGGCTGGATTACTAAGGTTTCTTCTGGGATTTTTTTTGCTAAAAGATCTTGGGACATTATTTTCCAAAGATTTGGAATTGCTATACAAGTACTTTAATTGTGTTAATTGATTTGATTAGCTATCATGATACATTAATTTCTGATTTGTTGTATGCTGTGATTTCCGACACCTGGGACCCTTTATTTCTTGTTAGCAAACATTTATGGTGTTTGATAGTTTCATTACCCCACTTCAACACATGATCAATAATTCAAAAAACAAAAACAAAAAAATTTAAATAAAGAAGGAAGAAGAATTGTGCTACGTACAACATATTGAGAACAAGATAACTCAGCATAGACTCCACTTAATTCATAAATGAAGATGCATACTCTTCATGAGATTACATCTCTCCTTTATTACATGACAATAAATCAGCTTGTCCCCTCTTCATGACATAAAAGCTCAAGGAACGCATCAAATATCCTTTCGTTGAACTATCTCCCTAAGCTTATTCAAACCAAAAGGAACCATCTCCCTAAGCTGAAGAGTCGAGAAATGGATAATCCGTGTACCCGATAACAGGATCCGGGGTATAAAAAGTAGTGTAATCGTACTTGTTTAAGGGAGCGTCAAGCTCAAACCTCCTAGGCAAGTCAGGGTTAGCCAAGAACATCTTACCATATGAAACCAAATCAGTGTAATTTTCATCCACCACCTTATTTCCTTCCTCCCTATCGAACCCACCGGCGGCGATGAACGTCCCGTTGAACTTCTTCCTCATCGGCGACAAGCTATGCGGCCTCGGTCCATCGGCACTGGCCATCACCGCTTCAAACATATGAACATAGAGAATATTGTATTTGTTTAGGGACTCGACCATGTACATCGCAAGGGCCTCTGGATTGGAGTCATAGGCGTCCAAGAATTTTGCGAAAGGAGACAGTCGGATTCCGACTCGATCAGCTCCGATTTCATCGACTATGGCGGAGACTATTTCGAGAGGAAAGCGGCAGCGGTTTTCTAGGCTGCCACCATACTCGTCGGTTCGGTCGTTGACGCTGTCCTTCATGAATTGGTCAATGATGTAGCCAGCTGCTCCGTGGATTTCTACTCCGTCAAAGCCTAAGCAATTGGAGCTGTAACTACGTAGCTCGAGATGCCATCAAAGCGAAGTACGTGAAATAAACAAAATGGGAGAGGACGTAAATAGAAAATACCAGCATCAATTGCATTTCTCGCAGCAAGTCTGAAATCATTGACAATTTGAGGGATTTCGTCGGTTCTTAATCTTCGAGGGGGAAAGAATCCTTCTTGCTGAATGGCTTTGTCGCTACAGCCGATGGGCACTCGCCCGTTTGGCTGACCAACTATGAGTGGAAAACATGACATTATTGACAGTGGACGAACCGATTGTTTCTTTCATAGTTATCAAAATATTATCAACATCATTGTGGTTCATACCCAATACATAACAAATATCGCATGAATTGCATCCGTTCTGAATTTTTTCATTCAACCAAAATTATATCTTACCATTGAAGACTCTTCCAACATGCCAGAGCTGGCAGAAGAAGATCCCACCCTTGTCATGCACGGCTTTCACGATTGGCTTCCATGCCTCCACCTGCTCATTTGTCCATATTCCTGGAGTCTCTGGGTACATAGTAACACTTTCGAGGGGGAAAAAATCAGTGTTGTGTTATACATACATACACGCATAACATATATATATATATTAAATATATGCATGGAGATAACGAGTACCCCTGGGCAGTATCGGAGACGCCGGTGGCCTCGGTTATGAGGAGGCCTCCCTCGGTAGTTCTCTGAGAGTAGTACAATGCTGCATGAGGTTGAGGTACATAACCATATGATCTTGATCTTGTCATTGGTGCCAACACAATCCTGATAACAATAAGAGCAAGTATTAATACTCAAGTTGGTTTCCTATAAATTTCATCAAAACAACACACACGTCATCAAATTATGGTTCCAATTGGAATGTGAAGGATTACCTGTGAGAGAGCTCAAATTTTCCCATGTTGTATGGAGTGAGAAGAGGGATTGATTTTTCAGGCATTTTTTCGGTTAGGAAAAAGTGAAACAGGCTACAAAGACTGGTTGATTGATATGAATTATAGCAACTCCCCTTGGTCTATTTATAGACTAGTTAGGGCTGTGTTTGGCAAGTAAGAAGAGGGATCAAAGTTCATTGAATTTGAATTTGATTCCAATACTGCAGGATTAATTAATTTATTAGCCTTTCAATTCAACAATCATGTGTTGCCCACATGGTCGCAAATTAATAATTGATCAAGATCCGAAGCATGTTAAAGAAAGGAAAAAAAATGAAAACAAAACAAAAAAGAGCTTCTTTGTCATTTGGTAGGTGTATTAGCTAACTTTGGCACAATATACGAAATATGCGAAGAAAAAAATTTTCGTTAAACTATCATTAGGAAGTGTATTTTGATTAACTATCATTCTTATGGTTCATGGGGAGGATATACAAAGGTCACTAGGATAGATATCTTCACTATACTCCGAGAATTCATGAAGTTTGAAACATATATGATACGCTATAGTTAAACT